TCGATTAGCCTGAATTGGATTCTCCCAAAGAAATGTGTATCCGTTATAATAAAAATAAAACCACGACCAAAGTACGAACGTTTGTTGATTCAAAAGATATAAACGAGAATGATTTTTATACTTTCAAAATACACCTTAAAATGTTTACCTATTTATAGAACCGACATTTGATACGGGCAAGTAGATGAGCCTGGTAAAAGTTTGGCCTATAAGTGTATGTCTTCAGGGTGTGTGAGGATGTTTCAAGTGGTTCTGTTGGCATAGGCTGCCATGTCTTTAGTGTCAGTCAAAGCTAGATCTAGTTCTGTCAGTTGAACTATTTCTCCTTTAGATTTGTCAAGTCTAGATCTAGTTCTGTCAGTTAAACTGTTTCTCCTTTAGATTTGTCAAGTCTAGATCTAGTTCTGTCAGTTGGTCTTTTTCTCCTTTAGATTTGTCAAGTCTAGATCTAGTTCTGTCAATTGAACTGTTTCTCCTTTAGATTTGTCAAGTCTAGATCTAGTTATGTCAGTTGAACTGTTTCTCCTTTAGATTTGTCAAGTCTAGATCTAGTTCTGTCAGTTGAACTGTTTCTACTTTAGATTTGTCAAGTCTAGATCTAGTTCTGTCTGTTGGTCTGTTTCGCCTTTTATTTTGCCAAGTACCTTACATTTTGATAAGGCTCAGCGCACATTCACAAAATTTGACATTCACAAAATTTGACATTCACAAAACTTGACATTCACAAAACTTGACATTCACAAAACTTGACATTCACAAAACTTGACATTCACAAAACTTGACATTCACAAAACTTGACATTCACAAAACTTGACATTCACAAAACTTGACATTCACAAAACTTGACATTCACAAAACTCGACATTCACAAAACTTGACATTCACAAAACCTGACATTCACAAAACTTGACATTCACAAAACTTTACATTCACAAAACCTGACATTCACAAAACTTTACATTCTCAAAACCTGACATTCACAAAACCTGACATTCACAAAACTTTACATTCACAAAACCTGACATTCACAAAACTTTACATTCACAAAACCTGACATTCACAAAACTTGACATTCACAAAACTTCACATTCACAAAACTTCACATTCACCTAACTTCACATGCACACTTCTTTACATGAATACCGTACATTTACTGTTTCGCCCCGTTCAACTGATAACAAACCTAATGACGTGGGTTATTAAAAAAGTTCCATCCCACAGGTATGAAGATGTGGAGCAACTAAACTGATACATTTTCTAATTAAAACTGGTGGTATGGAAAATTCGGTAATCAACAGGAAATGAAATGTTAAAAACAGGTAAATATAAATTAAACAAACTGACTAATTGGTCGGACATTCTTGAGCTATTTATATCTACAGCTGATCAAGAGGTTAAAGTGGTGGGTAGGGTATGGGTTGGTGGGTAGGGCGGGGGTTGAGTGGAGTGTGGTGGATGGTGAATGGAGCAGGGGTTGGTTGGAGTGTGTTGGAAGGTGGGTAGGGCAGGGGTTGGTGGATGGGGTTGGGTGGAGTGTGGTGGATGGGGCAGGGTTGGGTAGTGGATGGGGCTGGGGTTGGTTGGAGTGTGGTGGAAGGTGGGTAGGGCGGGGTTGGGTGGAGTTTGGTGGGTAGGGCAGTGGTTGGTGGAGTGTGGGGGTTGGTGGATGGGGCTGGGGTTGGGTGGAGTGTGGTGGATGGGGCAGGGGTTGGGTGGAGTGTGGTGGGTAGGGCAGTGGTTGGTGGAGTGTGGGGGTTGGTGGATGGGGCAGGGAATGGGTGGAGTGTGGTGGATGGGGCAGGGTTGGGTAGTGGTTGGTGGATGGGGCAGGGGTTGGGTGGAGTGTGGTGGATGGGGCAGGGAATGGGTGGAGTGTGGTGAACGGGGCGGGGGTTGGGTGGAGGGTGGTGGGTAGGGCAGTGGTTGGTGGAGTGTGGGGGTTGGTGGATGGGGCAGGGGTTGGGTGGAGTGTGGTGGATGGGGCAGGGAATGGGTGGAGTGTGGTGGATGGGGCAGGGAATGGGTGGAGTGTGGTGGATGGGGCAGGGTTGGGTAGTGGTTGGTGGATGGGGCAGGGGTTGGGTGGAGTGTGGTGGATGGGGCAGGGAATGGGTGGAGTGTGGTGAACGGGGCGGGGGTTGGGTGGAGGGTGGTGGATGGGGCAGGTTGTTGGGTGGAGTGTGGTGGACGGGGCGGGGGTTGGGTGGAGGGTGGTGGTTGGGGGCGGGGGTTGGTGGAGTGTGGTGGATGGGTTGGGGAATGGGTGGAGTTTGGTGAACGGGGTGGGGGTTGGGTGGAGGGTGGTGGTTGGGGTGGGGGTTGAATGTATTGTGAAGATGGAACCGAATTCTTTTTCTTTCTGCCACATCCCTGCTATCACATGGCATGAAATTATTGCTTGACATTACCTGACACTAACTCATTCATTATGTTTTCTTTGCGTACAGTTACACCTCCCTCCCCCACCTCTCATACTTTATAAGAACGTTTGTTTCTTCTAGGTGCAGCACATATGGCGCTGGTTAATGATTTGACTACATCGTGGCGCATATAAATGTTATTTATGTATTAATTTTTGCTAACTGATTGAATAAATAAATGGACATTGCTGGCCTGGAAATTGACCATTCAAACAGAATATCTGGCTTATTTATATTGATATGAACATGTAAAATGCGATACGTGTATACATCTTTTTCATCAAAGACGAAAACATTTGGTACCACGATGGCACTAGTCTTTAGACTTGAACGATTTAACCATCTTGCATATATTGACGTTTAATGTTTGTTTTTTTCCAGTTGGTAGCTAAACGAATATGTAATCTAATCTAATACAGTTGTGCAGCTATCTACATTTTGAGAGTGTTTTCTGATATATCCATTTTTTCTTCGTTAAGCCTACGACAGTTTCCATACCGCAAACGTGCGAATAGCTTTGGTTAAGGGGTCATCCATTTATGACGTCCACAAATATTTTGGATTTTCGACCCCCCCCCCCCCCCCCGTCCACAAAAATCCACTTATTTTCCCTATATAAGTCCATACGCGTCCGAAAAAGTCAATTTTTTTTCGGACCCCCCCCCCCCCGGCGTGTGGACGTCATAAATGGATGACCCCTAACTGTAGTTTCTATAGCAGTCCAGTCAAACTACATTTTTTTAACGCAACATGTAGGTGTGTGTGTGTGTGGGGGGGGGGGGGTGTGCTAAAAATGTAGTATAGAATGTGGCCTTTGGAAATGTTATATAACACCAACTAAGGAATAGGATAAGTTAAAACGTCCAAGTATTGTTATGCAACATAAGCTTAATCATATACTAGATGAGCTATTAGTGTTTGTTCCATTCTTCCAGACTTTTTTCTCCGGATATTTTCGCGGGGGGGGGGGGGGGGGGACACTGGTAAAAGTATATGTTCTCTATATAAATTCCATTTCGTTCGGGGGCGGGGTGGGGCCCTGAGATGCCTGGAAGATACTCTGGACCCCCTCCCTATATTAGAGAAAGTATATGACCCCTTATATTAGAGAAAGTATATGACCCCAGAAGGTGGTTTCTAGCCCAGCTGTAGCATATTTGTGTGGAACCTACTAGAAGGTGGTTTCTAGCCCAGCTGTAACATATTTGTGTGGAACCTACTAGAAGGTGGTTTCTAGCCCAGCTGTAACAAATTTGTGTGCTCTGGATCATGGCACGTGAACCAGGTCATTGGGATATCCCGCACTGTCAAAAATAGGTTATTGGGTCACCTTTAACCACAGCAGCTTTAGCCAGAGATGTATAGCTGATATAAATTTAGCCAGGGATGTATAGCTGATATAACTTTAGCCAGGGATGTATAGCTGATATAACTTTAGCCAGGGATGTATAGCTGATATAACTTTAGCCATAGATGTATGGCTGATATAACTTTAGCCATAGATGTATGGCTGATATAACTTTAGCCATAGATGTATGGCTGATATAACTTTAGCCAGGGATGTATAGCTGATATAACTTTAGCCAGGGATGTATAGCTGATATAACTTTAGCCAGAGATGTATAGCTGATATAACTTTAGCCAGATATGTAACTTTAGCCAAAGGTTGATATACGTTTAGTTTAGCCAGTTATGTAAAGCAGATAAATACATATTCTTAAGTGAAACCAGACTAAAATATATCGATCTATAACCAAACTATCAGAAGACACTTTACAACACGAATGTATTGATCAGATTATTAACAACCTCGGTGCCCGTGCTAACCACACATTGAGTTTTAGAAAAATATAAAAAAAACGTTTACTTTTTGTGTTTTACAATCAGAGAACAGCCTGCTAGTGTATGAATATAAATGATGTCATTAAACTCATTCAAGTGTAGTGTGTAGTGCTGGAGTGTTTGCATACATTATCATATAGTGTTTTAGTACGTCACATTAGGCGCGAATTTTATCAGTGACACATTCAAGATGGAGCCAATATACATATAGAAGACATACAACGACGTCTTTATGAATCATGAGATGGCAAGCATACATGGACAGCACAGATAAAACTAAAACAGCACACATACACCCATATTAAAGATGGAGCTACAACAACACACATACACCCATATTAAAGATGGAGCTACAACAACATACATACACCCATGTTAAATATGGATCTAGAACTACAACACACATAGATTCATAGAGAAGATTAAACTTGAACAACACACACAGAAAACACGAAACTACGACTGTACCAATCAAAAGTAAACTTTACTCACCAAAACGGAAGTTTCCGATAACCCGACTTCTGCAGCCATAAGAGTAATGTCAAGGTCGGATGGGTTTCTGTTATGTTGGAAATTTTCCTCTAAACATTTCAGCTGGTATTCCGACATCCTCGGAAGCTGATTCGGTGGGCTGAGTTGGGCTTGGATGACAAGCCCATTACTCAATACAGGACCGTATCCGGGGCTCTGCATGGTTCACGGTGCCAGACAAACTCTACTTCCCCTGAAATGACTTGGGTTCTGTGACTAGTTCAACTGGGCTGGATGTTGTTTAAATACACTGTAACAAGTAAAACATATCCACTCACGAGAAGTAAATATATTATGCATGAGCTAATTAATTAACACGCTAAATGTGAACTAATTAGAACAGGACTAGCAAACACCCGAGCTACGCAGACGATGTGAGTAGAATTGTGTGCCCCACCGTCCCCACCCTCACTCCTGACCCCCCTCCCAATGCTCAAGTCACATGACACGAGCGTGTACTCAGCAAACTGTAACAACTGGCACCACAGTCGGGCTAATGATGTAGTTCGTGTTGATTTCCAGGGGCAGCCTGCTATATGTATCACTAATTTGTTTGTTTAGTTTCACCTTTTGTTTACATAAATCTTTGTTTCATATATCAATGTCTTATTTTAAATGGATGATGCTATTATATAAAAATGTTCATATATGTAACATATCTATACGTATAACATGTCCATGCATATAACATAATTAAGTATAATGTGTTTATACATATAATATTATTTTATGTATAGAACTTTTAAACATAATATTTTCCTATACAACATTATTGTACATATAACTGAATAATGACAACTAGAATATATAAACAAAAGTCCATGACACACACCACACTAGAATATATAAACAAAACGTCCACCGCACACACTCACGACTTCCAACCAGTTTTTTATTCTCTCGTGTCGTTAACGCGACAATCACACTGTTATTATGACGTCACAGAAATTCACCAGACGCAGGTGCTCACGGCGAGACAAAGAGCAGGAGATTACCGCCCCTTTTAAACTTAGTTACTGCCCCTTACAGGCTTAGTTACTGCCCCTTATAGGCTTAGTTGCCGCCCATTCATGAACCGAGTTGTCGCCTCTATAGATCAATACAAAACGTTTTTCGTTGGTTTTTTGTAAGAATGAATAGTTTACACGGCATAGACCCTTTCATGATACATTGATCACATTTCGTGTGTACTTGACTTTACAAAATACAACACAAGTCAGATAAGCAAGTACTTACGTAATAAACGGAGGGTGATCTACGTCACCACAGGTAAATCTCGGTGAACTACGTCGCTATAGATAAAAACACTCTACACACCTGAAACATATGTCATCGATTATATTACCTATTTCATATTTTAATAAACATTTTTCCTTAATGATATAAAAGGGAACAATAAATTATCAACAATAAATATTAAACTTACCTCACAGTAAACTATCAATGAGTATTTTAAATGTATAGTCGACTAGATTATAGTAATGTCCCCTTAGGTCCAGCTAGTCAGCTGATTGTAAGTGAAGTGTGGTGTACCACCGACGGGGTACCGTGATGTACCAACTGACGGGGTAGAATGGTGTACCAACTGACGGGGTAGAATGGTGTATCAACTGACAGCGTTAGTACCGTGGTTTACCTACCCAAGTACCTGCAGTAAACACGGCGTCACGTGACTGACGTTTCCCACCGTATCGGGGCAATAAAGCACTCGATAGTAATCTTAGTGTGGATCACGTGATGTGTGTGTGGGGAATACCAGAGTGATTAGTCACCCACCTGCTGGGGACTGGGGGAGTATTGATTTAATAAGGTGACACGTCTGTGTAGTTGGTGACACGGTGATACATGTGTGTACTGGTGACACGGTGATACACTTGTGTTAATGGTGATACATTTGTGTACGGGGTACACACGCGTACACCTTAACAACGCACGTGACATGTGTCACGTATGAAGACGTGTACACGTTAATTATGTACAAGATGTCGTACCTAGTATAAAAGTGTATACACATGTACTAAAGCTTACTTTACCTTAATTCACCGTCACGGTTCACGTCTATCTAATTAGCCACACAACCACACACATCAACGTGTCGCTAATTGACAGAACACGCAACGTATCGTGGCCGCCACATAAAATCAATACAAGTCAAGGGAGAGAAGAATGTTCCCCCTCTGTACTGAACAAAGATCTACACGATAAATATTCCGTTTGTAGTTTAGAATTGCTAAATCTCAACGAGAAATAATTGATAGGAATATAAGAGTTCAATATTTTTTATAGCAAATTTAGTGAGCAGGTGTTGTAATAAGCATGTTGTGGTGAGTAATGTATCGGTTACCTGGCTGAAACTTGTTTTATTTACCTAGATAACTGTATACTCACAGTTTGTTGGTCTGTGTGTGTATGCCACATTAAGCTGCCCCCCCCCCCTACACACTCGGCAAAGACATCTAATGTCCGCCCTTACACTGGGTCTACACTTGGAATATTTTGTTACGACTGTTGGACTAAGTAAATTTGTTACAACTACTTCCCTGAAGGTGACACCCCTGCACTTAGTAAATTTGATACACCCTCTCACCTGGTAGAGGGTGTACATTCTCTCACCTGGAAGATGCACCCCTCCCCCTACACTAAGTAAATACTATAGTAAGCCTCACGATAAAATAAACCTATGCGTAAATTGTTAAGTGTTGATTTTTCGTAACCTGAATGCACTATAGCTTTAAGCTGCATTTGCATTTAACTTTAGCCTACATTAGCATATACGTGTAGCATACACTTGCATATAAATTTAGCCTACATTAGTATATAACTTTAGCCTACATTAGCATATGTCTTTAGCCTACATTGGCCTATAAATTTAACCTGAATCAGAGTATAACTGTAGAACCAGCTAATTAAGAAGCTAGTGTTATAACGCCTGCTGATTAAAACAATGTTATGAAGCCAGTTAATTAAGACATTAGCTAATTAAGACTCGAGTGTTATGACACCAGCAAATTAAGACACCAGCTAACTAAGACTAGGGTTATGACGTCAGCTAATTTAAGACACCAATGTTATAACGTCAGCTAATTAGGACGCCAGCTAACTAAGACTAGGGTTATAACGTCAGCTAATTAGGACGCCAGCAAATCAAGACGCCAGCTAATTAAGACGTCAGCAGCATCGGCCCAGTTTATCAACACTGAATGTAAACTTACCACTCAGGAGATGTAAACTTTACCAACACTGAATGTAAACTTTACCAACACTGAATGTAAACTTTACCAACACTAAATGTAAACTTACCACTCAGGAGATGTAAACTTTACCAACACTGAATGTAAACTTTACCAACACTGAATGTAAACTTTACCAACACTGAATGTAAACTTACCACTCAGGAGATGTAAACTTTACCAACACTGAATGTAAACTTTACCAACACTGAATGTAAACTTTACCAACACTGAATTTAAACTTACCACTCAGGAGGTGTAAACTTTACCAACACTGAATGTAAACTTTACCAACACTGAATGTAAACTTACCACTCAGGAGATGTAAACTTTACCAACACTGAATGTAAACTTTACCAACACTGAATGTAAACTTTACCAACACTGAATGTAAACTTTACCAACACTGAATGTAAACTTACCACTCAGGAGATGTAAACAACCGCCCAAACGGCCGTATCGACGTCTGATTGCACTACCAAGTGACGTCACGCACATAATTTATGTAGCAGCATCTAATCGATGAGAGCCTAGACACTTATTGATCTGATGTAGACGGCTAAGAGTAGACGTGTTTACACGTTTTCATTTCAGCATATGGACGTCTGGTTTGCTAGATTTTATAAGGTCTTTTGATTGGGTATATCATTCTCATTCTGTCTCGATAACATTAGGTAGTTGGTGAAAATTTAGGGTTGGGAAGCTAATTGAACATTGGGCTAAAGTTTAAGTAAATATTGAGTAGTTTGACGGGCATTGGCCAATTAAAAAAAATTAAACAGGTGCTGAAATATTGGGAATATTTTGAAACAATGGCCTTTTTTTAAAAAAATAGGCATTGTAAAATAATATTAGGCAGTTAAAACTATGTAATAATCATACTTTAAGAAGAAACGTAATTAGTATATTAATTATAAATTACACGTAATTAGAGACGTTGTTTCGTTATCAACTAGCCAGACGACACCTTAAGCATGAGAACAATTTGTTGTTACAATCTAAATCTAGCTATCACATGTAAGAGTTGCTTTAAGTTTTTGTAAGTAATCAAATGATCTTTAAATAACATAAGCGGATTCTCCTATATGTGCTGGGCAGTTTACATTTAATTTCTAATTTGTTTAAGATAATTAAATTACTGAGACAAAATATCAAACTATCTTTGAAACTGGTCACAGCTCAACATTATAATGTAATCTAATTATAGCTACAACGTTGTTTTATACAGATGTTTTATACAGATGTTTTAAGTAGATGTTTTATGTAGATGTTTTATATAGATGTTTTATAGAGATGTTTTATATAGATGTTTTATGTAGATGTTTCATGTAGATGTTTTATGTAGATGTTTTATGTAGATGTTTTATGTAGATGTTTTATGTATATGTTTTATGCAGATGTTTTATGTAGATGTTTTATGTAGATGTTTTATGTAGATGTTTTATGTAGATGTACTTCTGTTTGCTGCCCGGAAATGATGGGTACGGGGGAAGGGGGGGGGGTGTTGGAGGGAGGAAGTGGAGATGATAGCCTCTATCAACGGTCGGTCAGATTAAAGTTTATGCCAGAACAGGGTGCCGTCTGGAGGGGCGTTGGCCTGACCTATATTTCCGGTACAACGTTCTAAAACAAGTTGACCTTGTAGGGTGAGCAGTCACATGGCAGTCATGTGATGTGGTAAATAGAGTGGGTATACAGATGTGGTTACATGCGTGACTCTCACACACGCACATACACACACAACCAGATACTTACACACAGACATACAAGAACACACACAGCCACATCTATATAAATGTATACATATCTATAATATTATATATATATATATATATATATATATATATATATATATATATATATATATATACATATATATATATATATGTATATATATATATATATACACACATACACACATACACATATACACACACCTATATATATATATATGTCAGTTTACACATTTTAAAGGCCTATATATAAATATATATATAAGATATATATATATATATATATATATATATATATATATATATATATATATATATATATATATATATATATATATATATATATATATATAAATACATTTATAATATATATATAGGCAATATATATGCATATGTATATATATAGGCCCTATATATATATATATATATATATATATATATATATATATATATATATATATATATATATATATATATATATATATATATATATATATATAATATCAGTAAAGTGTGTAAAAACATAAACGTTGGTGTTGACTATCTTTTATCTACCTTTACGTGTTTCTGACACTATTTTTAACTTGTTTATGAAACTAAACTTAAATTAAAGCTAAAAGTGTATTTTGTTATTGTTCGGCTACACGCATCAGTGATTTCAGTCACGCTCCAGTTGCGTGGGACAAATGGAATAACAAAAATAGCTGCATCAACCATTCGCTTTAGATCGATATACTATATTTGGATGTTGATGGACGGCTGAAATTTGACTGGACGGCTGAAATTTTCTGGACGGCTGAAATTTGACTAGAAGAACGAGAAATTGGAGTAAACCGAGGACTTTGACAGAATGATTTCTGATCAACAGCTTTTTGTAAACCTCAGAATGGCTTGCACTTTAACGCACATTAAAATATGCGTTTGTAGTATTCCCTCTTCGAAAATACCACACACATGACGTTTTTTAAAAAGTGTTTACATTACCTGTTAGATAATTTAACAACAAAGATGACTCACTAATATCAACGCTAACCCTCCCCCAAACCTTACCTTGGCCCTAACCCTAAGTTCTGTTCACAACATTAAACCTGAGATGACCGTACCACTAACAAACCAACACACCTATTTTCATAAGTGTTTATAGTCAGACATCGGGCTACAAATGTTTGTTAGACTATGATAGACTATGATAGAACGGACAAGTAGAGTGGGGGTGTGTGAGTGTGGGGGTCGAGGGTCTAAACATGTCTTCACATGTGTGTTATTGAGGCCAACTAAAGTTCAAATTTCTCATTTTTCACGCTTGACGGAATACTTTCATTGATTATTTCTAGAAATAAAACTATGCAAACACTTTAGATTTAGAATATACCGTAATGGGTGCGAGAGACTAACCCCTTTCAACTTGCTCCCCCCCCCACCCCGACTCATGCAGTGTCGAATGAATAAAGAACATAGTAAGGATTATTGTTTACACTAGACTAGTATCTAGTGGGATTAAGGTATTATGAAGGAAGTAATTGTTTTGTGGCGTAGATTTGGCAAAGGGTTGTAATATGGGGTTTAGTGTTGGATTAAAGTGAGATGTAGTGTTAACTTTAAGTTCAATGTGTACTGAGGTGGGGGAGGTGTGGTGGTGATCTGAGGAAGGTGGGGTGGTGATGTGAGGGAGGTGGGGTGGTGATGTGAGGGAGGTGGGGTGGTGGTGATGTGAGGGAGGTGGGGGTGGTGATGTGAGAGAGGTGGGGGTGGTGATGTAAGGGAGGTGGGGTTGTGATGTGA